GGCATTACAATGCGTAATAATATGATTAAGGAGGTGAGGACGCCCAAAAGAAACCTTAAGAAGAACGTTGATGAGAGAGGCCAAAGCTGCTGGACTTGATTATGTCCATGATTTTAAACTGACTACACAGGATAGAACGAAATAGAGGTATAGACTTCCAGATCTAACATGTAATGGCAAAACAGGATAATGAATGAATGAATGAACTATACAATAAAACAAGCTGTTATTTTGTCGATGAAACGTTTTATTGCCTACTCAGTCTGTTATGATCCAAAATGTTTGTTTCGTTGTTACTAGCACCTTTATGTTTTTTTTTTTTTTTTTTCGGTGCGATAATATTTTAATGAGCTCTACGGAGCTATATAGAAATCACAACCGATAGTGATGGCGAGTTTGAAGTTTGAAGAAGTTTGAACAACGGACCAACATCATGGCACACTGGTAGTAACCTATAAGTGCTCCGTTCTTCTTCTAACTCAAGTGTGAGTCCGAAGAAGCTCAGCACAGTGTACAGACTCTGTAGCACCGGCGAGGATCATGAAATACTTTGGGTAGATTTTTAACTCCAAGTTTTGCCTGGGCAGCACTGTTAGGCTACTCTTTTCTATTTCCATCTGCCAAGGAATTGTTTACGTGCGCCACAATGCACACGGGCGTCCGATCTCACTACCCAGAAACCAGGGGAAATTACTAGAAGTCCAAGTCCACGTGAAAAAAATCGGAGCCTTTACTGGGGATTTAACCCGGAACCTCCAGCACTCGAGTCAGACACCATGCCTCGAGACCACGCAGCGACCCCCCTCCCCCTTTTGCACCCCCCCCCCCCCCAGCTATGGCGAGTGTGACTAGTGTTAAGAAATGTCTTCGACAATCAGAGCCACACACAAAATAAATACATCACTGTATTATATAACCCTCAAACGCAAAGTTGTTTTCACTATAGTCCAACTCGACATCTCCCAATTTCTAAGATATACTCATTAATTTAATAAGAAGCTTAATTGCTCATACTTACTGGGTGAAAAATCATAGGTGAACGTTTTAATTACATTTTAGTTTTGTTTTGTTTACCAATAAATTACATCCATGCACACAAAAAGAAAAGTCCACACTTCCACGTTGAATTTTAGCAACAGCGCGGTAAACAACGAAAAAGGTTCCCCAATTTCCAAAGACGGCTTTATATACGTCCAGGCAAGAAACAGACAGCCGCTCTTTGGCTACGCAGAGACCGCTTGTCAAAATGTATTAGCCGATCTGAGAGCTGGGGCGCTGATACGATTTTGAGGTCAGCGAATATCGATTATCACTTTAGAGGTGTATCGTGACAGATTTATTGTGTAAACAGGGACCGTTATAAAAAAGGTTTAGTGTACGTCTTATCAGTGTAGCAATTCCGATTGATTCATCGACTGAGTATCTTTGTGTATGTTAGCTTTTATAGTGTTACTATTCAGATAACTGTCGGCTCTGTGGCTAAGTCGATGCGAACGCTTCGTAATGCTGGGATGCCGGGTTCGATCCCAGCTGCGGGCCATGCGCCTTGCATTGGTTTCGACAGTGGTACCAAGAAAGCCGACCGTCCAGGAGCAATGGCAAACTACTGGACATAAATTTGCCTAGAAAAACCACACAACAGCCAGGGGCTGTTGGGGTTGGTTCTGCAACGTCCTGTAAGGATACGCAACTAACCTATTCAGATAACTTTGGCATTCACACTGCGTAATCCATCAACTGGTAACTTTAATTATTTTAAGCAAGTTATTTTATTAGTATTATTGTTGCTGTTATTATTATTTCTTTTTGCTATAATGATACAAATTTAAGCCAGTTTTGCAATTATAGTCATCATTATTACTATCAACTTCCACTTGTTTCTTGCAGCTGATTTATTGTTTCTCAGCAAATCATGTTCAATTTTATTTTATTCGTCTGTTGGCATTCACCACACATTTCTTCTTTTAGAGTACAAAACGCCACTCCGTGAGCGCCTGAACCTGGGGGGGGGGGGGTGTGGTTGGCTGAGCACTTTGAGTTCGGGGTTACCTTTGTCTGGGGGTGACATAAAATTATTGTACTCAAAGAAAGGATTCCTGGTGTTATTATGGAATGTGACTCACGCCAGAAATCCATCACTAACAAATCCTTATTGGGTTATATACTGGTCTCGGTCGGCGTCTGTGGCTTAGGCGTTGCGAACGTGCTTCGTAATATCGGGGCGCAGGGTTCGATCCCTGCTGAGGACGGCTTGTCTTGCGATGTGTTTGACCATGATACTGAGAGCTAACCGTCCAGTAAGCAATGGCAAACTACTGGACGTAAATTTGCCTAGAAAAATCACGACAGCCAGAAAATACTGGGGTTGGTTCTGCAACGTCCTGTTAAGGATACGCAAATGGTCTCGGTCATTTGTGTGCATTACTTCTCTTATATTGACGTTTATGTTCAACGTTTTGTAAAATAAAACACAATGTGTGTATATTATTTACTTTAAAAAGATGTTCTTTCACCTTTCGTTCCCTAACCCGCAGTGAAATGTTACTTTACATATGTATTAACAGATTTCAGTTATCTGTTTATTTGTTTATCCGCCCCAGCCCAGGCGGTGACGGTTTATAGGTTTTACTGTACCGCTGTATATGAGTTATGAGTTGAATTATCTTCACAGCACTCCGGACACATCCAAAGGTGCTCAGATTCCCCCTTCAACATATTCATCAGCAATTCAAAGCAATGTTTCCCCGATGTGAATTTGAACAAAGAAGACACAAACAATAGACTGCACAATTTATTGCCTGGCATATTTCGCTGTATCTCGTCAGGTGCATACTACAGTAACAAGTGAATAAATGAAGCAAATAGCTTAATCCTAAAAACTGAAACACAAATTCGAGTACATTCTACACTGTCTGTTTCACCAAGGTAACCTTAAGGAAACTACCATTTCTTTCTGCCTACAGAGATCCGGTTTTAACCGGTGGATCGCAGAAGCTTCTGCGTATCTGAGTAATCTACGGTTGGCCGATTTGTAAATAATTCGAAATGCATCATCCCTGTTAATGATGTGCCCGGAATTTAGAATGTGGCACGCAATTGCAGCAATTGCGTGCCACATTCTAAATTCCATGCACATCATTAACAGGGATGATGAATTGCAGCAATTGCGTGCCACATTCTAAATTCCATGCACATCATTAACAGGGATGATGCATTTCGAATTATTTACAAATCGGCTAACCGTAGATTACTCAGATACGCAGAAGCTTCTGCGATCCACCGGTTAAAACCGGATCTCTGTAGGCAGAAAGAAATGGTAGTTTCCTTAAGGTTACCTTGGTGAAACAGACAGTGTAGAATGTACTCGAATTTGTGTTTCAGTTTTTAGGATTCAGCTATTTGCTTCATTTATTCACTTGTTACCGTAGTATGCACCTGACGAGATACAGCGAAATATGCCAGGCAATAAATTGTGCAGTCTATTGTTTGTGTCTTCTTTGTTCATATTCATCAGCGTCGTAAGGTTCGGTCCTATGCTGGTTACCAAGACGTTTTGTGCGTCCGGTGTACCTCACATGTTTGGCTGTAACAATGTTTGGCCGTACTCCCAATTCTCGTATTCTTAGTAGTAATATGGACATGTTGCTTAAATAATCATTAGAGCATCCTATCTCTTTAAGGGCATTAACAGTGTCGGCATGACCCATAGGCCGGCCATCTGCAACTAATACAGAACCTGCCAGTCTATCAGCTCAGTATATTAAAGAAGTGGAGTTTAGGGAGTGAATTCTGGCATGATACCAGTTGTTTAACATACGTCTGTAAATCCTGGACAATTAATAAACAACCCTAACAATATTTTGAGGCCTCGGAGTTGTGGTTTTACAGAAGAATTATTACAATTCCTTGGGCAGCTAAGCGGAGTAAAACGGATGTTTTGAAAAAGGCCGGTGCTCGAAGACAACTTATCACAAACATTAGAAAGAGACAGTCATAATTTTTTTTTTTTTTCAAATTTTATGAGAGGCGAAAAAATTGAATATGTTGTGACCACTGGAACAATTTGTGGAAAGAGAGACATAGGAAAACAGCGCGAGAAGATTCTTTACAGTCTTTTGTTTGGTCATGGATGGTAATCAACATACGAACTTATACACGCAGTTGCAGAATGCAGATTAAAGGTATAGTCAAGGAGGGGGGGGGGGCTGCGTGGTCTCGAGGCATGGTGTCCGCCTCGAGTGCTGGACGTTCTGTGTTCAATCCCCGGTAAGGGCTGGGATTTTTTCACGTGGACTTGGACTTCTAGTTGTTTCCCCTGGTCTCTGGGTAATAGAATCGGGCGCCCGTGTGTATTATTGCGCACGTAAGAAATGGCTTTGCAGTTGGGCAAAATTGTGAGTTTGAAATCTACCCAAAGTATTTCAGGATCCTCGCCGGTGTGCCAGAGCCTGTGCACTGTGCTGAGCTTCTTCGGACTCCGACTTAAGTTAGTAGATAAAATAGACCATTTATTAGTTACTACCATTGTGCCATGATGTTGATCCGTTGTTCAAACTTTAAACAACTACTTCAAAACAGGTAAAGTCGGGAGATGTGAACTAGCGTCATTGCACACGGTTATAAATCTTAAGGACTCTGCCACTAGCATAGACAGCTTGTAAGAAACTGTCCGCCTGTGTCGCCGTCCGCACGATACTCCTTAGCTATAGCGACGTTCCTCCATTTACCCCAGAGTGGTAACTCTGGTACCCATTTCCTAGAGGCTGGGCGAACCCCAGGAACCCTCCGGTTTTGAACCAAGCCGTTGGCTGCAGCGAGTCACAGCTGGATTTGAAAGAGATTCTCCTAACGCGGTCCTCAAAATTGCAGATAGTGGAGAGGCATGATCGCCAACGCCATTCGGCAAGGTAACTTGATGAAGATATGAAAGCAGACTAGGTGTTTTCCCGAATGACGTAATTTTCTAGAAAGCCTGTCATGCGCAGAACGACATCAACAACATGGCTGCCGAGGAGCATCTAACTGACGCCCAGCTTGTAAGCGAACTTGCCAAGTTCGGAGAGAAAGTAGAACTGCCACTTAAACGCAACAAGCGACCCCTTCTTTTGAAGAAACTTAACCACCTTAGAGTCAGAAGTAATAAGGAGAGAGCAGTTGCGACACCACCTAGAAAAAGTTTGCAAAGTTCAGCGTCTCCATCTGCTTTCAGTTTCAGCAAATTCAAAGATCGACGGAATGACGAAAATGAAACAGAACTGCGGAACAATGTCCAAATACCAAAAGCATCTACTCCATATATTCGCGATTCAAGAAGAAATGTTAGTGATAGTTTTCGTCCGTCCGATTCCCAGACTTTAGTTTCAGACGACAGTGATGTTGACACACCGTCTGGTTCATCTTCAAATTATAATCGACTCAATGCTAGTAAAAGTTACAGAAATCTCGATGATAAAGATACGATTGCCAATCGTTCAGGTACTCGGCACAGTTTAGCAGATCAATATTTCTCAAACAGGGTTCCTGGGACACTCAAACACACAGCAGCAGGATCCAGCAGAGCTTATAACATTAGAGACAACGACAAAGCTTTCTTACAAAACCGTGAAGATGATGATGATGAAAAGACACATTCACCACCAAGATCAAGGCTTTATCCTGACCTCAGTAGATTTACACCGTCATACTTACAGAGTGATAGGTTCGAGTCTTCTGATTCTGATATTGATGAGCGAGCAAATAAGTCTTTTCCTTTTTCTTCCCGTGTCACAAGACCAAGAGATGCTTCATCATCATTCCCAAGTAGACATCGAACATCTGTTGATAGCCCCTACAGAGGACGGCAGCCGAAATCTTCATACTTTGCACATTTGCCTAGAATTTTTATTATAATAGCTGTTCTCTTCTTTGTTATTGTGGCTGCTTCCTACATCGTGAAGAACAAAGATTATGTTATGTCTTGGTTTCCATCATCAGGTATTTACAGTTTGAAATTTTATTTGAAATTATTAATTAATTTTTTTTTTAACTTAACACTCCTTAAATTATTGTTGCTAAATGTTGTGAGGGTCCTTTGGGGACGAATGAACAGTATGGAGGTACAGATGGATGTCTACGATTTGAGGAGAATGGTGCTGCGCGAAGTGACCAGAGGATGTGGTCGACGCTCAACACTTGGGGGGAAAAAAGCAAAACTGATATACAGTTAGACTGTTTTTAGTACCATCGGAATTGGAACTTTGTGCTTGCTGCTGAAGATGGTGATAGAGCACTTATGGGAACATCCCAGGTTCAAAAGTACTGTGATGTCAATTCTTAAACATTAATTTATTGGTGCTGTAGTGGCATAGTTGTGTGCCTGCCTGCTAAGACAAATATTACATATACTTAGTAGACTATCAAGACTTTGTCCCCAGTGAATGTGTATTCAAAAGAGCAGGAATGCCAGCTATGCAATTACAGATGCCTGCACTGATTAGGATGTCTCCTGCATTGAGAACGGTCACATTCCAAATGATCTTCTGTATGGTAAACCGTAAACAGGGAAGAAATATGCAGGAAGGCCAAGGCTGTGTTAAAAGGACTTATGAAGATGTGACTGGAAAGATACCAACAGTGACACAGGCCCAGACATTCAGGTGTATGTGGTAATGAGCAGAGTGATAGATTAGCTGCTGCAGCCCCGCTGGTCATGAGCTACTCTACGATAAATCGGCGGATATGGTGAGGGCTGTCTGGTATCAAAGTAACAGTGCAGCAGAATAGAGCACCTTTATCTGGAGAGATTAATTCAGCTGGAAGTGAGTTGAGGGTCTGGACAATTTGCTCCTCCCAGGGGAGAAAACTTTACTTTGGGTCAGGTTTCAGCTGGCAGCATCAGTATTGGAACTCTTTGTTGGCTAACCACAACATCTAGCATGAGAAATGAGGTGGAGGCGGTAAATGCAGCTCTCCGGTGGCTAGAGAACAAGATGCATACAGATGTTGTAATTGTAACAGACTCTGAAAACATGCTGAGAAAGGTGAAGACAGGGATGCTTCGAGCAGAGTTGCAAGCTTCACTGGAAAGGTCATGGGTAGTGAGCATACTTTGGATCTTTTCTCCAGGCTATGCCGGGGTGGTGGGTAATGAACAGGCAGACAGACTGGCTGGATCTGCAACACTAGGTGGGGAATTGATACATGATAAGGCAGATGTGGTCAAGGCCCTTTGGGAACAAGCAACGGAATCAGTAGAGAAAGAAGATTATTATGGCCTGGAGAGAATGAGGCACCTGGGTGTAACCAGAGGGTCTGGCAGGCTCACTACACTCAGGGGAAAGGCAAGACAGACATATACCAGATTGTGACTGTTATTATCAGTACTGGAAATCTGCGCTAGCTGCTGAAGTTGGGGACGGAGCATGCATGGGAATGCCCTGAGTGCTGTGATGTCAGTTCTTGACTCAACTTTGTTGGCTACTGAAGAAGGCGATGGAGTGTCTAGAGTGCAATGATGTCAGTTCTCAATTCATTCATTAATTCCTTGTTTCATTTAGTGCATAATTAAAATAAGTTAGAGATTAAATTATTTTGTTTCATTAATAACTGTACAATTATTGTGAACTTAAATTGGCATGTCGTTAATTTAACATCACCTTGGCACATCACAGTGCTATAACCTGATATTTCTCCCTGTATGGGTTCCAGAGCCCAGTTTTGGGGAGGAGGTTTAGGAAATGAATCCACTGTCCCTGCCCCCCCCCCTCCCCTTTTCCACAAACATCGTAAAAGGTTGATATTTGGGAAGGGGGGGGGGGTTTGAAGACAAATTGCATCTGCCTAAGAGGTGGGGAAAAACAGTCAGACTAAACAAAACAAAAAAGTAAGCCAGATCTGCAAAATGAATGTGCATGCAAAACTCAAGTTCTGGGTCAAGACAAAAGTCTAGGAGCGGACGAACAAACAGAACTTTCTGTAAGAGTTTACAGCTGGCAAACTCTAAGAAAAAGAAAACTGATAATTGAAATTTCCTTATTATTAGCTCTTTTGTCTTTTTAAATTATTCACTTGTTACAGGTTCTGATGATGTCCTACTCATTTGCAGTGGCACCACCAAGACCGAGGTATTTATGTCTTGTGTTTTAAATAGTGTAGGGGCTGCTTATTTATTAGTGCTCTTCTTGTGGGTTTGAGGATGCACTGGGGACACTCCTGCTCATCGATAGGATACCTCTTAGCCTTTCCCCACAGTGAATAACAGAATCAAACTCGTCAGGGCCACGGCTTTCTTCAAGGTGAAATCAGACACTCACTTCAGCCATCAGTGACCGGGTCGCCTATTGGCTGGCTATTTGGGTCTGTCTCCTTTGATTGCATCAACACTGGATGAGTCCTTTTCAGGGCTTCTTGGTGGTGAGCAATGCTAAGGAATTTTATATGGCACACATAACCTAGTCACAATTATAACCTAACTTCCCCCTTTGGGAATACTGGTTGAATGTATTGATGTTTTTTTTTTTTAAGCAAAGCAACGGCAGTGGCCTGAATTCAACCCTCTTCCTTTTTCATCCAGGCTTGGGACTGGCAGTGGCAAAGGAAACAAATAGAAAGCATGTTAGAGAAACCTTGTTGGTCTAGATTCCTCTGAGATATTAAAAAGATTGCTTGGAATATTTTTGAAAAAAGGAATAGCTGTGTATGACTTAGAAGGTGAGGACGAGCATGCTTCGTGCAGAGTGACATGCTTTGGAGGTCACTAGTGAGGAGCATTGTCTATATCTTTTCTCCGGGTATGCCGGTGTGTTAGAAAATGAACAGTCAGACAGACTGGCTGGCTCTGCACAACTTGGTGAAATACTTATGCATGATAAGGCAGACCTGGTTAGGACCTTGTGGGTGAATGTGTACAATTCGTAGGAGCAAATGGAACATCACATTTTTGTATGAGTGGTGCCGCGGAGAGTGACGAGGGGATCTGGCCGATACTCAACACTCAGAGGAAAGTCTAGACGTATAATCAGAATGCTAATGGAACCATTGGTAATGGAACTTTCCGCTGGCTGCTGAAAATGGGTATGGAACACATATAGTAATGCTTCAAGTGCTGTGATGTTGGGTCTTGAATGTGGAAAGATCCTCCAACGTGGGAAATGATCCAGGCATACAGCATAGACCTACAGCCTAACTATACAGTCACAACAATTCCAGGCATATATAGAAAGGCTAAAGAATGTGACCTAGTACTGCATACAAAGACCCTTGAACATGTCTACAACTCTTATCCAAAACCTGATTGGACACATGTATACACTGATGGATCATTAGAGGGAGCAGGAAGAAAGGGAGGAGCTGGATCAGTCATCATGCTGCGAGATGGGACCTAGTAGAAACATCATGCACCTCCAGAAGACACTCAACAAACTTCAGAGCAGAGCAGCAAGCAATTATTGATTCAGCCAAAGTGCTTGAGGAAAGAAAAATTGAAAACTGCAAAATTGTTTTCCCTTGTGACTACGTGTCAGTCCTCCGGGCTACTCAGAGGGATCAGTGAGACAACATGGAGAGAGAGCTGACCAGCCAGCTAAACAGACTCACAGAAAACAATCAAATTGTAGAGTGTTGAGGGGGAGACTCACACAAAAATTAGTCTAAAAAAAAGAGAGTCACACCTGTAGAGGTATTGAGTGTATGGTATATGGTGCTTATCTCGTATCTTTATAGACCAGTCAGCAGTGGGTGGGAGAGGTGGACAGTATCAAGATTTCTTGTTTGGGTTCTGGGTGCACATTTGTGGGAGGAGGGATAATAGACCCATTGCGCCCCATCTCCCCTATCCCAAGCAAGCATGTCGTAAAAGGCGACCCATTAAGAGCTTGCTTGTTGAGCTGAAAGGTATCACAGTCTAGCTGTGAACTACCACAACACAACTTGTCAACCACCTTTTTAAGGCTGAACACAGAAGTATCAAGCTGGCTGCTTTTACCTCCTGAAACATTTCATAGTACTTATTTTAGACTGGTCCATTTAGTGCCCAGATCAAACTTGAACAAATCTCCACCACAGAGGGGCTTAAAATAACTGTATGTTTGCCCCAGAGAAGCTGCAAAACCAACATTTTCAGTTGGGGTTCTAAATATAACTTTTCAAACTTGTCTATAGTGACCTCTTTACATAACTTATAGTTAGTGCAATTTGCATGAGACCAGGATGTGAATACGCTAACTAAAAATAGCATTTAAAGAGATTTTCCTTAAAACCAAATGGCTTTAAAAACAAAAGCCAAGTTGACATTGAATTATGTCATGATCAGTTGTTGTTAGCACTACTGGAACATTATAGTTAATGATCTGTTGTTAAAAAGTTTCACTAAAATTAATAATCACAGATTACTTATCTTATTATTTGTATAATTTCATACAACACTGAGTTGTTTTGGGAATCAAAATATGAGCAAAATATTGTTTGCAGGTTTGCTATAAGAAGGAAGTGGTGGATCAAACATTGCAATACCTTGGGAAGTTGTTTGAAATTTTGAGCTTCAGGAAAGGTACCCCATTTTTGTTTCCAATTGTTCTTTAATTTAGGAAGTGGCATTAGTGAGTGACAGTTGTCTGAGATATTTTGCCCGGGCCATTCAGGCATGTTTGGGATTCAGCAGGCAGATAGGTTGGCTGCAGAGGTGATCTATTGCTTGTGGGGCGAGGTAATAATTAATTGTCGGATGGACACACTCACTCATTCTCTGTCCATCTCTCTCTTTCTATCTCTCTGTCTCTCTCTCTCTTTCTCTCCTCCCTCTCCCTTTCTCCCCTCTCTCTCTCTCTCTCTCTCTCTCTCTCTCTCTCTCTCTCTCTCTCTCTCTCTCTCTCTCTCTCTCTCTCTCTCTCTCTCTCTCTCTCTCTATCATATGCTCTCACTCACACACAGAGGTAATGTCAAACCTTTTTTCTTAAAATGCAAAATTCACTTTTTCATGTATGTGTCTGATTTTTGCAGTGTAAATTTTTTTTTAAATATTACTTTTTTATCATATCATTAGGGTCAGTGAATCTTCTTCCTCTTCTTCTGCATTCATCCGAAGATGTAATTGCGTTGTGTCCATTTACAGCATGGCTGCAATATTTGCACCTTTCGGCCAACACATCTGACTTCTGCGGGCATTTATTGACCGGGTTAGCCTTCCTGGTTAGGACAGGGTCAGTGGATAATTGCCCCCACTGTGGCTGTCACAGAGGGTCACACTATAAGTCTGTTGATACATATTGTCCTTTTTTTTTTAGACACTAGGGTATGAATTCGATTTAACACCTCCCCCTGTTTACATCTTGAATGGGTACCAGGTATATTCCTGGGAAGTAAAGGTGTACAGCGTGATGTTTATTGGTCTATAAAATATAGCTAAAGCTCTATATGCCCAATACGCCTGGAAAAGGGTTCTTGATGTTTTTACTATTCATGTCTGTTGATAACTCCTTTTTTATATCTTTATATATTTCCATGGTTAGGGGATAAATAGGTTTTTTTTTAATTTATTAGCTCCTGGGTTATAAAACACAAAAGACAAAAAATGTTGTATAAGGATTTTTAAATTATTGTTTTATGGCCCATTTTTTTTAGTGTCTCTGGAATGACATTTTAAAAAAAAATGTTTGAGGCTGAGCTCTGAGCATGAATGCATTGCTGTCTTCACTTCTTTATCAGAGCTGAATCTTCATCTTTGAAGGACTGTTTTCAGGCAGCCAAACAGAATAATTCCAGTAGAGTAAAAACAGAACTAAAGGGACTGTGCTTCAGTATCCTCAGACTACTACTGGTACCGTTAGAATTGGATCTTTGCGCTGGCTGCTAAAGATGGTGCAGAGCGCTTATGGGAATATCGCAAGTGCTGTTGTGTGGGCTATTAACTCAGCTCGGTAGACCACAGTAAAAAAAAAAGTGAAGATCCCTTTTCACGCCTTAGGTGCATCGGGCATATGGGAAGAGCATCCCATATTTTTACAGACCAATCGGCACTAGGTGGGTAATGTGGTCAGGATTACGCCGGGCGTCTTTAATTCCACAGGACAGCCATCCTGGTACCAATTTTAAGCTGGGTCAACCTGCGACGCCCCATACCATGATAAAAATCCACGCAGCCAGCAGTGGGTTTCGATCGCGGTACGTTGGAATTAACGAGTCGGACTTGCAATCAGTAGACCACAAATAACATATAACTATGCTTCTCTTTTTAAATGGGCAGCTATTTTTTTTTTCGTTTTTTTGCTGCATTTACAATCAACTGTTGTAAAACATTGACCTGTACAACGGTGAGCTTGAATCTTTTCGCCGCAAAAACTAATATTAAAAAATTTTGAATTTTTTTTTTTAACACATGTCACTAATACATTTGTTAAAAATATATTTATTGACATTTTAACATTATTGTTCAAAATATATAAAGATCTATGAAAGGAAATAATTAATAAACACAAATGGGCTGAAGCATTAAATGGAATACATCTCTCAAAGCTTTAAAGTACACTCAAGCCTTGATCAAGTGACCTCTACCAATGAAGTCTATGAGAAAATCCGTCAACTTAGCTTGAGATCAGTGTTTTAGCTTGAAAGAAAACCCCCTAAATGCCTAATTTCATTTATTTGTATCCTGACCTCCTGAATGTTTGCGCAGGCATAAACTCACCCAATAGATTTAACTATATATGTTTTAAAGGGGTCACTACAGGCAAGTCAGAAAAGTTACATTTACAGAGGTTTGATGTTTGAACAACGTACCAACATCATGGCACACAGGTAGTAATTCATAAGGGTTCCATTCTTCTTACTCAAGTCTGAGTCAGAAGAAGCTCAACACAGTGCACAGGCTCTATAGCACTGGCAAGGATCCTGAAATACTTAAGGTAGATTTTTAAACTCCAAATTTTGCCCGGGTAGCGCCGTTAGGCTACTCTTTTCAATTTCCAACTGCCAAGGGATTTTTTTTACGTATGCAACAATGCACATAGGCGTCCGATCTCACTACCAAGAGACCAGGGGGAGTTCTTAGAAATCCATCTACGTTAAAAAATCCCAGCCCTTACTGGGGATTGAACCAGAAACCTCTAGCACTCAAGGCGGACACTGTGCCTTAAGACCACCCAGCCCCCTGATGACATTTACAGATAATTTACTCGGCCGGAAGTGTCGGTTTTTCGGCTTCTTGGGGTGAAAGGATTAAAGGGAAAGTACTAAACAGTCAACAAACAAAAGTTTTAAAACTACCATTGAGCAATAATTTTTTTTTCAAACACCCTCATATTTAATCATTTGCAATAATATTTGTTTTTTACTTCTCTAGTTGGTTGATAAGTTTACTGTTTATGAACACTTCAGGTCAGGTTCTTTGTGGTAATGCGAAGCCTGGTCAAGATTTCTTAACAGTTTCAGACTTGCAGTCGCAGATGTACAAGCATTTTCCCCAAACAGAAGTAAGAAATTAATGTTATACAAATTATAGTTGTAATTCAAAATTAAGAAGAGTTTGAAGGTAACTGAGATGTGGTTCTTGAGAAGAATGTTGGGAATACCTTAGACTGCCAAAATTAATGTCTGGAAATGGCTAATGAATATAGAACATTATTTACAACAGTGAGAAGGAGACAAACAACGTTCTTTGGTTACATGATGAGAAAAGGAGCACAGGAAAATATTGTGAAGCTGGAAAGATTACTGGTAGCATAGACAGACCAGAGAAATTATGGTGGATGGCTTAAGATGGTGGCATCGAGGATTATCATCAGTGGTATTGATCCAGAACACCAAAGATGGAGATCTTCGAAGGTGCATGAACAGCTATGCCAGCTTGCAAGGCACTTGAAGATGATAATGAATTTGAGGTGGTGATATCCATTTTCTTATCTGACACAGCTATATGTCATTCTTTTAAACAACTTTTTTTTTAAATCTGTTGCTGCTACTTCTCTTCTTCCTCCTTCTCATTGTTTCTGAAGTATCTAATAGACAGGCTTGCTATTGCAGGTTCTTTTACTTTGCGTTCACCAGCTGTAAACTCCGGTGGAAAGTTGTGGTTGTTCGTCCACTTCTGAACTGCAGTCCCGTTCCAGAACCTGAGTGTTGCATGTGCATCCGTTTGACAGATCTGACACATTTTTGTGCAGCCAATCAGTTGACTCTTACGACATACTTTTGGGTAGCCAGTGGGTCTGTTCTTGTTTTCCCTATAATAGGGCCCCGGAACCCACTGGGGTATTACATTCTTTTAGAAAGTTTATCATCCTCTGTTTTCTTTTTCTTTCTTCTTCTTCTTCTTCTTCTTCTTCTTCTTCTTCTTCTTCCTCCTCCTCCTTCTCCTGCTCCTTAAGACAAGAAAAACAAATGATGAAATGAAAAACGTAGAAATTGGTTATGAATGTTTCAGTACTGATTGTATGTGTTGCTTGAAGTTTTTCTTCTTTTTCTTTTTATAATTCACCAACTGTATACGCTGGTGGAAAGTTCTGGTTGTTTTTCCACTTCTGGACTTTGATCTTGTTCCAGAACCTAATATATGCATGTTGATTTATTTTTGTGCAGACTGTTGGTTCCTGACTCCTCAGACAGATGCACTCTGACTTTGAAGGAAAAACCCTAATTAGTTGCCTTTCGTGATATACTTATTAGGGGGAGTGGGTCTATGTTTTGTCTTTTTTTGTCACGAAGAACTTTCAGTTTTAAAACGTACCATTTTACTATTTTTATGTGGTTTCTTTGAAATGTTTTTTTTTTTTTTTTTTTTACATCTTCTTCTTCTTCACTTCTTTTTGACTTCACTCCTCATTTGATCTATTCTGGTGAATCCCTCAGCCTTTCTCAGACATCTCATTTCCATGGCTACTTTTCTGAGTTGTTGTGGGTGACCATATCTGGCGCTGGTAGCATAGGGTGCAAAATGAAGAGGCTGGTGTATCGGATGTTTCTTTGCTGTACCTGGTGAACAAATCACCGTTGAAATCATATTTGATGGCCAAAAGGCACAAAAATCGTAGCTATGTTGTAAACAGGCACAGTAGTTACGTCACTCGCACGAACGAAAAGAAGAAGAATATGTTTCTTTGTGCTGGTTGTGACCTTCGTGTGCCATAAGAAAGAGACTTCTGTCACGTAAGGTGCATGTTTTGTATCAGATATAATTTCTTTCTGTACAGAATGTTGAACTACTTCTTGAATGTTGCCTACAACACATTCTACTTAATCCGCACTGGAAAATTAGGTAAGTCAGTTTGTGTTCTCGGTTCAGGTTCAAGTCTAAAAGTTGAGGGGATAGACTTAATTGCACTGGGTTTAATCCTAAATGGCTCCGTCTCTCTTCACAGAACTGCTAGCTGCCTGCTGAGAGTATCATACAAAGCACAATATCCATAGCTCCAGGAGTGATCAATTATTACAGCCTGGGAAGACAGATCTCATCAGCAGAAGATGGCAACTGTCTAGAGGGCAAACTTGAAGGGAATAAACTTCCCAGAAATGGAATATATCAACCATTTGTTGGTGGGGAAGAATTGAATTATGGCTGAATGTTTAATTGTACAAATTTTATCACATGGTACTATTATCTTCTTCTTCTCCTTCAGCATTCTGAATCCTTGACGTTCATTGCTGCAGATATCGCAGGCCCCCATTCATCTCTATGTTTGGTCTTGTCTTTCCAGATAGTGACAGCGAGTGTTTGTAGGTCTGACTGGATATCATCTCCCTATCATCTTGTTGGTCTGTTTCGTGTTCTGTGACTACTCAACTCCCTTGTGTGTGTACCTCTGTCATCTGACTTTCTCTCAGTTTGCCTCAGCCATAGCCCTCATGATGCCAGTGATCAATAGTGATTTAAACAAATTGTGAATTTCGCTGTTGCTTCTCTCTCTCCATTACCTGCTGTGGACATCTTTGATGGGTTCAGAGATTCGTCCTAAGACTGTTTTCACAAATCTGTACTAATAATTTATCTCTTTTAGTTAGTATTGTGGCTACGAAAATTAAACCATTGGAAAGGCAGTTCTTCAGACTAACAAGTCTCTAGGACATAATTATATCCTTCCTATGTAGGTTCTAAGGCCCATTTTGGGACAAAACAAAAATAGACCAACTGCTGCCCCTTTTTAAGGGTGAACACATAAAAATGAGAAGACAATATATCCTCAGAGCAGTTGGTACTTTTTTTATGCTATGTTATCAAAGTTGATGAATTTGCACATTGGGCATTCCCATGTGTGCTCTGTCCTGCAATGCAGAGGTACAATGGAGTGGCTACTGCAACTCATGTCTGAGTCCGAAGAAGCTCAGCACAGTGCACAGGCCCTGTTACACCAGCGAGGATCCTGAAATACTTTTTGTAGATTTTTAACTCAGAATTTTGCCTGGACGGTGCCGTTAGGCTACTCTTATCGCTTTCCAACTGCCAAGGGATTTTTTACATGTGCAACAATGCACATGGGCATCTGATCTCACTACCCAGAGACCAGGGTGAATTACTAAAAGTGCACGTGAAAAATCCCCAGCCCTTACCGATGATTGAACCCGGAACCTCTAGCACTTAAGGTGGACACCATGCCTCGAGACCATGCAGCCCCCTGTCTGACAGGAAATATGTTTGTAAGTTGGGCAACACAATTGTATGTTTTTCTTGTTCACAGAGCTCTACAGGAAAACGGTACAGTAGCAGCCAGCACAGAGGAAGTTGCCAGACTAGAGTCAGAAGAACCTTCAATGAGCATTTTATGTCGCCTGCGGCGGTCCTGCTTTACTGTATTTTATGAACTGTGTCTGGCAGCAGCAGGTTAGTGCTGACACACTGATAGGCATATTGAGAGATTGTCTGGTTTTGCACCAGTGGGCGGGGAACTGAAGTGTGATAAGCTGGATGTTGCCAGGGTCATGTACTCTCAGTCTGATCATGGTTTGCAGATTTACAGACATCTCTTGGTTCTAGCAAACATCTTATTTCTCTTGGAGCATTTAGAATATCTGCCTGGTTTATGGCTGGCTTGCCCTCCACAATAGCTTAACCTGCAAGCGCATATTAAGAGATTGTCTGGTTCTGCGCCAGTTGGCGGGGAACTGAAGTGTGATAAGCTGGACGTGGCCAGGGTCATTTGGCAGTGAGTGAACAATGCGGAGGCACAAATTGATCATTATGGACTGGAGCAGATGGTAAGCTAGGGGTGACCAGGGGATCAGGTTGACAATACACTCAAAAAAAGTGCAGAGAATCATCAAAAAATGAGCAAAGAATCATAAGACAGGCAATAAAATGGGAAATAAAGGGATTAAGGAGGCCAAGACGCACAAAAGAAACCCTAAAATGAGCATTGATGAGAGAGGCTAAAGGTGCTGGACTGGATGATATTGAGTTGATTGCACAGGTAAGAAGGGAATAGACTGAGCCCTGTGTGACATATAATCGCTTAACAGGACAGTGATGATGATGATAACGTGACTGGGATGCAGAGGTGCTGAACCACACCAAAAAAAGAGAGCACCACAACCAGGGCTCATACCAGTCAAGAGCTGTCTACACTTCTCTTCAGTAGTTATTCTAGACACAGGTTTCCAACTGCAGGCCTTGTCAGTATTGATCTTCTTCTTTTTCTTCTTTTTTTTCTTCTCCTCCTCCTTTTTCTTCTTCTTTTTCTTCTTCTTCTTTTTCTTCTCCTCCTCCTCCTTCTTTTTCTTCTCCTTCTTTTTCTTCTCCTTCTTCTTCTTCTACTTCCTCTTCTTCTCCTTCTTCTTCTTCTTCTCCTTCTTCTTCTTCTACTTCCTCTTCTTCTCCTTCTTCTTCTTCTTTTCCTTCTTCTTCTTCTTCACTGGCTGTAAACTTGAGTGGAAAGTCCTCTTTGTTCATCCACTTCTGGACTTCAGCCCTGTTCCAAAACCTTAGTGTTGCATGCACATCTGTTTGACAGATCTGACTCATGTGTGTGCAGACTGTTGGTTCCTCACCTCTCAGGCAGATGCAGTCAGACTTCGAAAGAAGTCAGTGTAGATAGGATCAATGTTTCTTTCAAAGCCAGAGTGCATCTGCCTGAGAGGCAGAGAACTAATCACTTAGTTATTCAACAGATTATTCTCATTGCACATCGAAGCATTTAGTATGTAAGTGCTCAGTCTCCTCCTGAGTAAATCTCGCAGCGTGTTGCGGCTCACGACACCAGTTCTGAGTTGGTTTCTTATTCTTCTTTGGCCTACTGTGTAGTGCTTCTATCTGGCCACCCCCCTTCCAACATTTTTGCAGTCTGGTCATGGTTGCAGATTCACAGACATCTCTTGATTCTCGCAAACATCTTACTTCTCTTAGAGCATTTAGAATATCTGCCTGGCCCATGGCTGGTTTGCCCTCCACAGTAGCTTCACCTGCAAAACCATCATCTTGCTCCATTTTCTTGCACGCCTGAGTGACCTGGCACAAATATGAAACTAATAAATGTCAGCTCCGACCACTTTAGAGAATTCAACTACTTTCTTTGGACCCAGCCCATCTTTGTCTAAAAGTCAACTCATAAGAAAGCCAGATCTGTAAAACAGAAGTATGGGCAACACTTAAAGTCCTTTAACAGGACCAAAGTCGAGAAGTTGACGAACAACTAGGACCTTCTAGGACTAGGACCAGAGTTTACAACCAGTGAATACTTTTTTTAAAAAAAGTTGAAGAATAGTGTAAATCCCACCCCCACAAACACACAACATTTGCATTTTCCGGTTATGTAATCATAATACCACAATAGGTATTTGTATTACTTGCTGCATTCCTCAGTAATTGATTTATTTTCACCCCTCAGCTGTTGCCATTTTCGTGCTCTTGGCGATGCTCGTCAGATACAGACTAAAGAAGAAGGAGCTGGAGCAGAGAGAGGTGTTTGAAATGGTTGAGGAAATTCTTGGTGAGTTGGATTAACATGAACTTCAGTAGGTCGAAAAACTCCAGGGTTTGTGTTAAATTAATTCATGCTAACTAGGGACTCAGATTAATAGGCCCCTGCTAAGACCAAAATTTTGTTCATGAAAACTGAGTGTTCTTCTGAAGCGAGTTTATCTTAACGAGGTTTCATTGTAATTGTCAGGACCTGTGGCTTGGTGTTATGAACACAGTCTCACAATTCTGACATTAAATTCAAAATAGTTTGCCGTCTCCACAACAAGGCTTGGCCACTGTTTACCCACTGCTCTCTTTGGGAATGTTACATGGTCAGCTTCCGGTTCTTGTCCACATTTTACTGCTGTTTAGAAACTCCCCGAAACAAATTTCTTTTAATTTTTGTGTTTTTGTTTTTTGTTTGTGAATATTAGAAGACTGCTTTGCCTCTTGGGCAGATGAAGCCTTTCTTGAAATACAAAAGTGAATCATTGATATTTATTAGGTTCTGCTACTTTAGCATTCCAAGCCCTTGAGGTTCATTGCTGCAGATATCACTCGCCTCCATTCATCTCTCTGGTTGGCCTTCTCTTTCCAGTTGGTGACACCAAGTGTTTGCAGGTCTGATTTAGTAGGTTAGTGAAAAATGTAGGTCCAGGAACAAAGACAAAGTCCAAAAATTGATGAACAACCAGGTTTTCCCACCTGGGTTTACAGCCGGTAAATGCAAACAACTGTAAGCATACTATTCTCATGAATAACAAAGAATATAGATCGTCTCCTTCAGATGTAGGCAATCAGTCCTCTTTGTGAGTTAGTTTCTTTCAAGACATCTTCATAACTCTTTTTTATCTGTCATTCTTATCTCATCTTTCATCTATAAAACCACATCTCTGTCACTTCCAAATAATTGTTCTCACTAATCGTCCAGCTGTCCATGATTCACTTCTGTGTATCAGGATAGGATTTATATAGCTCTTGCGAATGCTCACTCTTGCCTCGACACAAGATTGCGTAGAATATTCTTCAATTATTATCACTACATCAGATTAGATATTTTAACTCACTGTGCCCAGATGAGTTCTCATCATCGTGTTGAGAAACTGTTAATTTCTGCAGAAATATTGCAAGATCACTATGAACATACTAAGGGAAAGGACTCTGACGAATCAACATATCTTGCAGTTCAGCATGTTAGAGATCAGTTGCTTCCCCCTGCTACAAGGTAGGGATGTATGGAATGTTTTGTTTTAATTATTGGATTTTCTTTTTAATTTTAGCATAAGCTGGAATAATAAGCCTGAAAAGTTGAGAATGAATAGAGAGTTGCTGAAAGAAATGAAAGTATTGGCTAAATATTTTGACTACATTAAAAGATATGCAGTTTATAAAAACTATAAAGGAGAGCAGAGTGAAAGAAAATGAGCAAGAGGTAGACAGTGATACAAGTGGGAAAAAACATTACGATGTGGATGAAAACAGTCTGAGAGAGAGTAGAACCAGGGCAAGAGATGGCAAGCTATGGTAGCCAGCCTTCTTTGTAGAGGTGGCATCTTACTGTTGAAAATGCTTCAGTCATTACTCACATCGTGGGGCTTCGGTTTTAGAACTCACCATTATGGGGCCTGGGTTCTGGTACTTGCATTGCAGGGCCTAGATTTTAGTACTTGCATTTTGGGCCCTGGGTTCTAGTACTAGCATTGCAGGGCCTGGATTTTAGTACTTGCATTTTGGGCCCTGGGTTCTAGTACTAGCATTGCAGGGCCTGGATTTTAGTACTTGCATCATGGCACCTGGGTTCTGGTACTTGCATTGCAGGGCCTGGATTTTAGTACTTGCATCATGGGACCTGGGTTCTAGTACTTGCATTGCAGGGCCTGGATTTTAGTACTTGCATCATGGGACCTGGGTTCTAGTACTTGCATTATGGTACCTGGTTTCTAGTACTTGCATTGCAGGGCGTAGATTTTAGTTCTTGCATCATGGGCCCTGGGTTCTAGTACTTGCATTGCAGGGTGTGGATTTTAGTTCTTGCATCATAGGCCCTTTGTTCTAGTACTTGCATTGCCGGGCCTGAATTTTAGTTCTTGCATCATGGGCCCTGGGTTCTAGTACTTGCATTGCAGGGCCTGGATTTTAGTTCTCGCATCATGGGCCCTGGGTTCTAGTACTTGCATTGCAGGGCGTGGATTTTAGTACTTGCATCATGGGCCTTTTGTTCTAGTTCTTGCATGGCAGGGCCTGGATTTTAGTACTTGCATTTTGGGCCCTGGGTTCTAGTACTTGCATTGCAGGGCCTGGATTTTAGTACTTGCATTTTGGGCCCTATGTTCTAGTACTAGCATTGCAGGGCCTGGATTTTAGTACTTGCATCATGGGACCTGGGTTCTAGTGCTCAATATTATGGGACCTGGGTTCTAGTTGTCAGCATTATGGGACCTGGGTTCTGGTTGTCAGCATCACGGGACCTGGGTTCTAGTACTCAATATTATGGGACCTGGGTTCTAGTTGTCAACATCATGGGACCTGGGTTCTGGTTGTCAACATCATGGGACCTGGGTTCTAGTACTCAGTATTATGGGACCTGGGTTCTAGTACTCAACATTATGGGACCTGGGTTCTAGTACTTGCATCTACAGATCTGTTTTGCAATTCCTATTATCTCTTTGAATGTTTTTGTTTATTTTATTTATTTAAATTTATGTTGTTTCACTTCTGCTTATTTATGTTAATACAATTTCAAGAAAGGAGAAACATGTTACCTTTTATATGTCTGTTCACTGTGATGGTCACTGTTGGTTCCCTCTTACTGTTGTCAATAATTTTTTTTTCAAGTGCTGATATCTAAACCACACTCTGGACTACGCATGTTTACTTTTGCTGCTAGGTGATTAAAAATTAACATGATACAAACAATATTGGCTGTCTCATACATGTATTTGATTTTTTTCTGTTGATGCTAGGCACAAACTCCAACCTGTCTGGGACAAGGCTGTGGCGTTCATTGCAGCCAATGAGTCTCGGGTCCGAATGGAGACACGTATGATTCAAGGTGACGAATTTGACGTCTGGCGGTGGCTACAGGTTAGTGTTGGGAGCTTAGCATAGAATCATCAAGACTAGGTCACACACAAAAAAGTTCAAAGTCGAGAGAGTCGACTTCATCCCATCAGGTTTTCCCGTTCTGCCGGCTAAATAGCCGCCTGCTGAAAGCATTGTGACATGCACAAACTCCGTAAATCCCTAGGATTTCCATGACAAATTTGCTTGTGAATTGAACAATGCATCTTTGAAACGAGTCTGTGACCTTCATAGGGCAAGAAAAACAGCGTGACCATTTTTTCACCACAACCACCACCTCCCTCTCCCCTCCCCTTCTTCCTCTTAATTTCTACTAATGGTTCAGGTAGAAGAATGTGTGCTATCTCCCTCCGGTAGAAAGAGAAAGATGTGCACATTGGTTTGTGGTATCTTTAGCAGATGTTTTGATGTTTGCAGCAGACTGGACAATAAGAAAGACGTGTTTGTTCATGGGGAAAAACTACATATGTCTTCTTCTTCTTCTTCTTGGCGTTCACCAGCTGTACACTCTGACGGAAGGTTCTGGTTGCTCGTCCACTACTGAACTGCAGTCCTGCTCCAGAACCTGAGTGTTACATATGTATCAGTTTTACAGATCTCATTCTCTTGAAAACAGATTGTTGGTTCCTTGCCTCTCTGTCAGATGCACTCTGACTTCAAAGGAAGCTCCCCAGTCAGTCGACTCTTACCACATGCTTTTAGGAAGGCAGTGGGTCTATTCTTGTTTTCCCCAACAATGGGGCCCCGGAACCCACACGGGGGACTACATATGTGATCTAGGACAAGCTTTCTCGTTTTGTGGTAGTAGTGGATTTTTAACCCACCAGGACATCACACAAGCGATAAACACCCGATGACACAAAGTGCCACCATGCAGATGAGGATCACTGTGGAGAGGTCCCAGAAATCGCGTTCAGCCATTAGACCATATTTATGGTCAGGCTATATCACGGTCCCTGGCAAGAGCCAGAGTAGGGCTTCAAATAACGAAAAGTTTCATCTCACAAGGAGATGCCTGGATTTATCTCTCGTTTTGTAGTATATGGACCCTCCTTATTGAAATTGTATTATTTCCCTTATTGAACTTGTATCATATTCCTTATTGAAATGATAATGTGTTCCTTATTGAAATGATAATGTGTTCCTTATTGAAATGATAATGTGTTCCTTATTGAAATGATAATGTGTTCCTTATTGAAATGATAATGTGTTCCTTATTGAAATGATAATGTGTTCCTTATTGAAATGATAATGTGTTCCTTATTGAAATGATAATGTGTTCCTTATTGAAATGATAATGTGTTCCTTATTGAAATGATAATGTGTTCCTTATTGAAATGATAATGTGTTCCTTATTGAAATGATAATGTGTTTCTTATGGAAATTGTAATATTTTCCTTACTGAAATTCTATTACAGACCCTATTCAACTTGTATCATGTTCCTTCTTGAAATGGTAACATATTCCTTATTGAAATGGTATTAAGTATTAAGTCCCTTTTTCGAAATGGTACTATGTCCCTTTTTTAAATTGTATCAAGTTCCTTATTGAAATAGTGTCAAGTTTCTATTGAAATGGTAGCATGTTCCTTATTGAAATGGTATCGTGTTCCTTATTGAAATGGTATCGTGTTCCTTATTGAAATGGTATCGTGTTCCTTATTGAAATGGTATCGTGTTCCTTATTGAAATGGTATCGTGCTCCTTATTGAAATGGTATCGTGTTCCTTATTGAAATGGTATCGTGTTCCTTATTGAAATGGTATCGTGTTCCTTATTGAAATGGTATCGTGCTCCTTATTGAAATGGTATCATGCTCCTTATTGAAATGGTATCCTTATTGAAATGGTATCGTGTTCCTTATTGAAATGGTATCGTGTTATATGAAATGTATCGTGTTCCTTATTGAGTATCGTGTTCCCTTTATTGAAATTATGTTCCTCATTGAGATTGTATCATGTTCCTCATTGAAATGGTATCATGTTTCTCATTGAGATTATATAATGTTCCTCATTGAGATTGTATTATGTTCCTCATTGAGACAGTATCATGTTCCTTATTGAAATTATATCATGTTCCTGACTGAAAATTGTGTTGTTACTCTTTATTATCCAGCCACCTGTACCTGAGAGTAGAAGTAAGAAAATTATAGGTAAGTTTTTGAAGAACAACATGTTTTTATACATCTTTACTAACTGGTGAGATTGATCTAGCATCTAGTGCCTTATTCTAGACCTGCCGCCCCAAGAAAGCCATATTTCCTGCTTTTATGGGTTTTTGATGACATAAGTTCTGTAGGTTGTGGGGACATGGGTTCTTGTACTTAAACATTGTGGGACATGGGTTCTTGTACTCACACATTGTGGGACCTGGGTTTCTATATTCACACATTGTGGGACCTAGGTTTCTATATTCACACATTGTGGGACATGGGTTCTTGTACTCATACATTGTGGGACATGGGTTCTTGTACTCACACATTGTTGGACATGGGTTCTTGTACTCACACATTGTGGGACATGGGTTCTTGTACTCACACATTGTGGGACCTGGGTTTCTATATTCACACATTGTCAGACATGGGTTCTTGTACTTAAACATTGTGGGACATGGGCTCTTGTACTCACATTGTGGGACCTGAGTTTCTATATTCACACATTGTGGGACCTGGGTTTCTATATTCACACATTGTGGGACATGGGTTCTTTTACTCACACATTGTGGGACCTGGGTTTCTATATTCACACATTGGGTGACATGGGTTCTTTTACTCACACATTGTTGGACCTGGGTTTCTATATTCACACATTGGGTGACATGGGTTCTTGTACTCACACATTGTTGGACATGGGTTCTTGTACTCACACATTGTGGGACATGGGTTTCTATACTCACACATTGTGGGACATGGGTTCTTGTATTCACACATTTTGGAACATCACACACATTGGACATGGGTTCTTGTATTCACACATTGTGGGACCTGGGTTTCTATACTCACACATTGTGGGACATGGGTTTCTATACTCACACATTGTGGGACATGGGTTCTTGTATTCACACATTTTGGAACCTGGGTTTCTATACTCACACATTGTGGGACATGGGTTCTTGTATTCACACATTGTGGGACCTGGGTTTCTATACTCACACATTGTGGGACATGGGTTTCTATACTCACACATTGTGGGACATGGGTTCTTGTATTCACACATTGTGGGACCTGGGTTTCTATACTCACACATTGTGGGACATGGGTTCTTGTATTCACACATTGTGAGACCTGGGTTTCTATACTCACACATTGTGGGACATGGGTTTCTATACTCACACATTGTGGGACATGGGTTCTTGTATTCACACATTGTGAGACCTGGGTTTCTATACTCACACATTGTGGGACATGGGTTTCTATACTCACACATTGTTGGACATGGGTTTCTATACTCACACATTGTGGGACATGGGTTCTTGTATTCACACATTGTGGAACTTTGGTTCTTGTAATCACACATTGTGGGACCTAGGCTCTTGTAATCATACATCATTGGACATGGGTTCTTGTACTCGCACTTCATGGGATTTGGGTTCTTGTACTCGCACATCATGGGACCTGGGTTGTTGTACTCACACATCATGGTACCTGGGTTTTTTTCACCCTCTTACTTTTCCACCATCATGATTTGCTAAAGTGTTCTCGTGTTCATGATGAGCAAAGAATGTATACTGTCTTCTTCTAATGTTGGCAGTAACTTCTCTTTGTGAGTTAATTTCTTTCCAAACATCTTCATTACTCTTTTTTGTGTGTCCAGGGTGTTCTTATCATTCATCTGTAAAACCACATATCTGCTGCTCCCACATAATTTCTCACTGTCCGACTGTCATGATTCTCATCTGAACTCTTTTCATCATCTCAGTTGACATAAAAAGATTCCATAGAATTTCTTGATTTTGCGAAATGCTGCCTTTACATGGTGGAATGTTGTATAATTGATGGCTCCCAGGCCAACCTAGACTTGGTACAAGGAAATGTCCTGGGAAGTAAAAGCGATCAGCATGATATTTGACCACATTGCCCATTAAATGCTTTTTGGTTTATTAAAAAAATGGATCTAACACCATATACATATAGGCTAGTCTTTTGAAAATGGTCCTTAATGACAATTCAGTTATTTGATTTACCTCTTTTGTTTTAAACTGTAGGTCTTGCAAGTAAATACATTGAGAGAGACGACCAAGTTTCACAAAAGCCAACAGTTTGTCTGAAGATTTGCAAGATGTACAACAGCAGCATGTAAGTTTCCTGTGTACAAGTTGTTGCCTACTTGTGACTTAACTCCTTTTGCCTTTCATGTAATTAACATTTAGAGGAAAACATTTTGCACAGGTCACCAATATATTTTTCTGAAGCTATTTGTATACAATGAAAAAATAATTTAGATCTTAGATTTTTTAGATTGGCACATTTCCATCTTTCCAGACTCTATGGTGAGTGTGACTAGCAAGACTCTTCCTCATTAAGAAAAGTCTTCCACAATTATAGCATGGGATTTCACGACCATTGTTGTCAACATTTGTGTTTAGTCTGTTTCTTCTCAGACGTTCATCTCTCATCCTTTCTGCGCTCATTTTCTTCCTTCATTCTCATTCCCTTCCTGATATGCCCCCTTCACACAACACAGTCCATGGCATTTTGTTCCCAGGATTCCACCTTATTACCTTTGTCATTCCATCTTGCACACATTTTTTATCATAGCAGAGATTGGTCTCGACATCTTCTACCCATCTTTAGATCACCATAAAGGATATCCTTAGGGACTCTATCATCATTTATTCTCTAGGTATGACCCAGCCACCTAAGCCTTTGTAGACTAAGCATTGAAAAAACTGTTGTAATACCTGCTCTTTCCAATACCTCAGTGTTTGTGATCTTGTCCTGCAACCTAATGCCAAATATTCTTCTTAGATCTTTATGAAAGGGAGTATTCAGTAGGACTGTACCGAATATTCGCTTCGTATTCGCTTTGGGGCCGAATAGTAGACTTTTTGACTATTCGGTATTCGGCTGAATAGTTGTTGTCGGGCCGAATACAAATAGTAGTTACCCTACACCCGCTCCTGCATACACGGCCTTAATGACAACACGGAACTATTGGTTTTGTTGAAAGCTAATGCAGCTTTCATGCATTAACTAAGCTGTCAGTGACAATTTCCAAGTTTAGTTACTTGTTTCAATACTTAGGATTCTTTCATTCTTAGTTATTAGTTACCACAGACTGACTGAAGGATGCAAAACATAAAATGTTTTTAAATGTTTACTATTCTGTACGAATTCTAATTAGACAGGGAAAGAATATAAACTCTGGCCACATCCAAGTCGATAATATGAAAATCACTGAACGGAAACATATAAGTGCTTGGGTGCAAACTGCAACTGTTCCAACATGCTCAGAGAAGAAATACAATCTAGAAATAAAGTATACTATGCCCTTCAACATCTGCTAAAGTCAAAGTGTCTGTCTCGCAACTCCAAGATCAAAATAAATAAAACGTCGATAAGACCAGTCGTTTTATATGGCTCTGAAACTTGAAGCAGAAATAAAAAAGATGAGGCCTTATTACAGGTTTTAAAAAACAGTCTTACGACAAATCTTTGAACCCATGAAAGATGCTAACAGCGGGGAATGGAGAGTGAGAAGCAACACCGTATCACATAACCTGTTTAAATCACCATTGATCACTGGCATCATGAGAGCTAATAGACTGAAATGGTTGGGGCATATTAAAAGAATGTCAGATGACAGAGAAGTAAAACTGTATACACCTGAGAGAGGAATGGGCGTAGACCACGAGGCAGACAAAAAAGAAGATCGAGAGATAATGTCGAGCCAGACCTGCACACAACTGGTTTCACAAATTGTGAAGAGAAGGCCAGTCAGAGAGACGAATGGAGACGAGTAATATCTGCAGCAGTAAACCTCAAGGGCTCAGAATGCTAAAGAAGAAGATGACTATTCTTTGCAACTTTATGTAAAGTTAAGCGTACATTTGACATTATGAATGTGTGTGTGTGTGTGTTTTTTTTTTAAAGATATATTTCATACACTATTCGTATTCGGCCGAATAGTTGGTCCCGTTATTCGTATTCGGCCGAATAGTGAAATTGACTATTCGGTACAGCCCTAGTATTCAGTAACTCTTTTTCAATATGGGACACACAGTTTATTATTTTTATGTTAAAGCCGGCTGTCATCGGAGTCCCTAATATAACCTAACGGTTGAACGGGGTTTCTTGGACTTGTGTTTGGGGGATTTTCATCCAAATGGTTTGCACTTTGTGGCACCGGTTGTCAATCACGCATTAAATGTTCCTGGAAAGGGGAGGGGGGGGGGTTGAACGTCACTCTCAGATTCAGTAAACTAACTGGTTATCAGTTCCTCCATTTCTGTACTGTGGTTGTGTTCAAGAACTTGAGTTTTGCCTGCATGTCCATTATATAGAAGTTGAATTCCATCAGAGTCAAAGTGCACATGCTTGATAGATGAGTAACCAATAGTCTGCATATTATTAAGCCAGATGTGTAAAACTGCTGTGCATGCAAAAGTGAATTATAGAACAAAACCAAGTCTAAAAGCGGATGAATAACTAAAGCTTTCTGAAGAATAAGATGATTAACTACAATATATGAAGTCATCTAAGTTAAAGACCCTGTATCCTTGTCTTGTAGCCTTTGGTACATGGTGTACATTTTAGGATCACTCAGTGTTTAATGGTTCTTCTTCGTCTTCTTCTTGCAGTCACCTTTAAAAGGGCATTATCACATTGTATTGTCCTTTACAGCTGGGCTGTGAGGTGTGCAACTGTTGGTCCAACACATCCTGTTTCAGAAGACCCTTTATCAGGACATGCTTATTATCTGTCAGCATCTAATGGCTTAGGGGTTGTAAACGTGCTGAGTAATTCTGGGGTGCTGGGTTCAGTCCCAGTGTGGGGATTTTATAGCAGCCTGCCCTGTGTTGATGTGGATAGTGGTATCAAGAACTCACTGTTCAGAAAGCAGTTGCAAACTACTGAACATAACATTGCCTAGATCTGAAACACCGGTAACCTCTCACTTTGAAGATTTGATCTGCTTGCATATGGGTCTCTTGGATGCAGCACACACTGACATGCTTTTCATAATTACTTAGTTGCTCTTCTTCTACTTTGAGGTGTAGAGGTTTGCCAGAGAGATCGCCAGACGTCTCTATCAGCAGTTTTCCTTCTGGCTTTGTTCCATTCCATTTCTCTGGCTTTTCATAGAGGTTGTTTTCCAGCTCCATCTTTTTACTGTAGCCAGGTTGCTTACTGCTGTTGATTCTTAATTCAACATTCAAAACATTCAATATTTTTTTAACATCAAATTCTTCAACAGTGTAAGTGGTGATGATGATTGGGAAGAAGAAGTTATCAATGCTGTTTTAGAGAAGTGCAGGGGTGTAGACAGCATTGTGCATGCTCGTGTTGATGCTGAGTTGGAGGAGGGCTGTGTCTTCATAAAGTGTTCGGACTTGGATGCTGCAAGAGAGGCAAAAGATGAGCTTCATGGTTGGAGGCGCAAAGGTTGGTAATTGTTGTTTTTCTGTCAGTTCTCTTTTCTGTCAGCTCTTTTTGCTTTGTCAACTCTCTTTTCTGACAACTCTCTTGTTTTGTCAACTCTCTTTTCTGACAACTTTCTTTCTGTCAACTCTCTTTTCTGACAACTCTCTTCTTTTGTTAATTCTCTTTTCTGACAACTCTCTTCTTTTGTCAACTCTCTTTTCTGACAACTCTCTTGTTTTTTTTTTTTCAACTTTCTTTTCTGTCAACTTTCTTTTCTGTCAACTTTCTTTGTTTTGTCAACTCTCTTTTCTGACAACTCTCTTTTTTTTTTTTGTCAACTCTCTTTTCTAACTTTTTTTTCTGTCAACCTTCTTTTCTGTCAACCTTTTTTCTAAACTCTCTTTTCTGTAAACCCTTTTCTTCAACTCCTTTTCTGGGTCCTTTTTCCAAAATCTCTTTCGGGCCATTTTTCTGAAACTTTTTCTCCAACCTCATTTTGAACTCCTTTTCTTCAATCTTTTTCTAAACCTTTTTAAAGTTTGTGGTCATTTGTTCTTCTTTTATGTTAGCCCTTAAAAGTATGATTGGCGCATTATTTTGTGGTTTACAGCTTAGCTGAGATGTTTGCTTTTTTTTTTTTTTTTTTTGGCTCAACACCTAATTAATTGCCCTTTCTGACATGTTTAGGGATTGAGTGGGTTTGTTCTTCTTCTGGACTTGTTCTGTTTTAGACTTTAGTGTTCGACATCCCTTTACAGATCCGTTATTTGTATACAGGGTGTTAGTCCTGCCTCCAGGCAATGGTTTTTTTGAAAAGGAAAACCCTTTATTAATCACCTTTAATGCCGAGTTAGAAGGCAGGGGTCCCAAAAAAAAACCCCCCCCGGGGCAAAAACCCAAAAGGACAGCCGGGTTATATTTTTTTAGTTTGCGTTTGGGTTGATTTCTTCACAGCAATCGGGGCCCGATTCCCCCTCAAATAACATCAGGGGCACGCGGTCAATAGTGCCAGTCCTAAAAGTAACACTTTGTATGGGTTTTGGTGGATTTTACTGTATTTTTTCCCGATCCCCGTTGGAGACTTTGGGTTGGGGTTCTTGTTGCAGTGCTTATTGATTGATATTGCAGTGCTTCAGCAAAAACATTTAGTTGTTTCATTGCATGTTTTATTTTTTCCTTTCCCTCCTCATATCTCGTAGAATTATTTAGTTTTTTTCTTTATCTTTTGTTTTTGGGGGAAAAAAAAATTGACAGACAAAAGAATGAAATGGGTTGGGGGATCTTGGAATCGCCAGACCAAAAATAAAATAGACTTTTTTCACAAGAACTCCCAAGGAAGGCAAAAAGGAAACCCAAAAAAAGTTAGCAGAGCCTGCAAAAATGAACAAATCCAAAAACCTTAGCCACCCGAAAAGGCAAGAAAATACTGAAACCACGACACGGGCTACAAGCGGGATCATGGGCGACAAAAGAAAAAGAAGAAAAAAAATATTGGACAACACTTACACCTAGGAGAAGCAGGGCGAGAACCACCCGGGAACACTGAGATGGGAAAAAATAGATCGCAAAAAGAAGTATCAAAATATCCCTGAAGATGAATGTGAATGAGAAAAAAAGGGGCTGGGCTGAATTCCTGTATAGCATAAAGGGGAAAGGAATGAAAAAAATGGGGCAGCGAGCACTGGGGTGTCTAAATGCACAAAGGGGTGTTTT